AGTTGCTTACAACTAGTATGAGTAGCATCAAAGTTATGTTCTGAACAACTACTTTTGTAATGCCAATCTTATCTTAATTGAAGCAAAAATTATAGATTATTTCATAATCAATATTCTGAAAGAACCTACTTGAGATACCCTCCAACCAAACACCTAGGTGAAGCTTGTCATCCAACTTGATAGGGATACAAACTCTTACAAATTCCCTTCTATTCCATTGAAACATGTTCCCATCGATCAATTAAGGCATTCCAATTTTGGAAGCAATCTCGTATACATTGATTTCATCCCAACATTATAACAATAGATTAGATACCATTACCCAAACTGGAGCTAATAAACCCTTTAAAGTGGTAAGAGAAAAAGCTGTCGACTACTTATCAATGCCAATGATATGTCCATTAACATACCTTGGCAACATTCAGAATACTTAGGAACTTTGGAATCCCCTTCAACCACCACATTTTTACCTTTTCTAATATCAAGAATGATCTTCTTGGAAGCCAATAAGCCACCTTCATTAATAACCAAAGGCCTTCCACAGCTAAAATTTTTTATGACCATCAGGGGCTTACGAGTTCAATTTAGCGCCCTTGGATCCATCTCCAAAAGCTAGAGATGAGGAGGTCAACATCGACTGATAAGAAATAAAGCGCCACTTGTAGACGGATGACGACCATCCACTGGGCCTCTATTAGAAGATTGTCAGCGACCATCTTCCACGATTGGAAAACTAGCGAAAATGGAGCAAACAAATTTTTGAGAAAACATTTTCTCTCTCTAAAATTTTGGTCTCTCTCTCTAAACTTTCTTTTGAAAAAATCTTTTTCTCTCAAAAAAATGACCCTAATAATTTTTTAGTCATACAATAAAAAAGAGGAAATTTGCTTCATTATTGATGTAAAAATTCTTAAGTTCATGTTATTATCTTCATTATATTATAGTTTGTTTAAACTTATATTTATTAAATAAAACTTTTTCTATCCCATTATTAGTTGTGATTATCATTTTATAGTCAAAGATTCTTGTAATCAAAAGGCACTATCATAAATATATTATTGTATGACATTAGAAGAATAATTAGTATTAAATTCATTTACAAAAGTTCATAAATGCTAAGAGCTTGTTATTTCAATTTGCGAAAGGGTAATGTTTATGAGTTATTTCTACTAATATATAGAGATTATATGTTAATGTTAAATATCCTCATTTAGTATATAATTAAATGTATCATAATTTGTATGATTGAATATAGCTTTTTATTTTTTTAGCCTTAAACACAACTTCACTCAGTAATTTCATGAGTTCTAAGATAATGCATGTTAAAGGTAATATCTCTTAATTCATTATATGTTTTTTTAGGTATGACATTTTTCAGTATCTCTTATGAATTTCACATGCATATAAACTTAGACACTTGGAAATATTGAATGATAATCAATATATTTTTGTGTATTATGTGAGGCACTTCTAGAATTTATTGGATAACAAAATGAAGCATTTATATGCATTCATTTCTTTCAAATATAGGTTATATAGTTGGAAATTACTGGACAAGCATTAGTGAGATAATTATCTCAAACTTATAACCCCATAGGTCTTCAAAGCCATGGATGTGAATAGGATCTCCCTAAACCTTAGGTCCACATAGAAATCCCACATTTAATTTTGAACACTCGATAACATGCTAGTTAGTATGAGTTTACTTATTAGTGCTATATTTAAGGAGGTTTAGCTATGATTAATCACCCACACTTAAAAACATTCATTCTTGATTTTCTTAAAGAGCAATGCATGCCATTCTAAGAATAAATATAAAAACATATATTAATAAAATAAATAAAATAATAAAACATAAATAAATTTAAATAATCATGCTTAAGGGGTAGTTTGGTTCGATTTACTTATGGTGCACTGCAAAAGAATATGTTCATTTCTAATATATTGGCATTTAGCACAACACAAAGTAACACTACAGTATCAAAGTAAAGTATTTTGAACTATATGGGTAGCATATTTACGGTGTATTCTAAACCCGCTCAAATCAAGCAAATTTTAAATACACTGCAACTCTCTCGCACTAAAAGGAGTTAAATCCCAACTTCATTTCTTTGTTGATGTTTGACTTCACCTCCTTCACTTTGGTAAGCCTTCGCTCTTGTGTTTTTCCCACCCACAAAATTCCCACTAGGCGGGCGAAAAAGAAAGCAACCCACAATAACACTTCTTTATTTATTCCTCTTGCTTCACGTGAGAAGTCCTTCTACACTGGAGATTATTATTTCTCCATTTTCATTCGACTTCCTTGCATGGCGTGAAGACATTTGGTCAATTCTACATGAAGGAAGATCTGGTCCTTCATTTGACTTAATTTTCTTTGTTCCACACACCAAGGGTCGAAGCACAGTAGAATAAAATTGCCCACTATTGGCAGACAAAATTCGCCAGAAAAATTTTATTTCAGGCGAAAAGTTGTCTGATGGTAAATCACACGTCAAATCTATCGGAAATTTTGCCGCTTATTTTCGGCATAATTTCCATCGACTAGAATGCCACTTATAATGGAAGATAAATGTCCACCGAAAATGCCACCGATAAATAACCATTTCTCTTTAGTGCCAATCCACCATTATCTCTTTATTCCACATGAAAAAGGGCTAAAGTTGCTTTGCATCCTCTTTTGCCCATGTCATCCCAATCTTCAACTACTTCTACTTTTGAAAAACAAAATATTTGTAATCTTGTTAATTTGGCACTCCTTATTGGAACCTGGAACCTTAGCTTAGCTAGACTACCTTGTGCAGGAAATGGGAGCTGTAAGGTGTGTCACAATATACTAATTTTACTTTGCTATGCATATATCCAACCAAATAAAAAAAAGTTCCTCTATATTGACTTTACAAACAACCAAATAGCCGTATAGTATATACTTTAAACTACATTTACTTTACACTCAAGCAAATAATCACTAAATAAATAAATAACATTAATGAATCTAAATTAAATAAAAATAATAATTATAAAATTTAAGTAAATTTAAATAGCAATCCATAAAGTTAAATAAATATAAAATAAAACACTAAATATAACTGAATAATTAAAATTAAATATCATTACACATTAATTAAAATTCAAATCAATTATTAAAAATTTAAATCAATAAAATAAAAATTTTTAATTAACTTGAAGTAAATAAAATTTGATTATTTATTTAATTAAACTTAATTTAATAAATGAACTTATTAATTAAATATTAAACCATTAAATATAGGGGCTTCATGCTCTATGTTTGATAACTTTAGAAGGCATAAGAGCATTGAATTGTAAGGTCCTTAATAAAATATAATAAAATGAAATATACTTATGCAATATATTTAACTCCATTTAGAAAATACATATGCATTAGATTTGGTTGGGTCTTTAATAAATTTTAAACAAATCAAAAGCTTTAATGCATTGTGCTCACCTCGTTTGGAAGGCAAAATTGCATTGGATATATAAGCCTTTTAACAAATTCTTAACCAATCAAAATCTTTGTAAATTCAAAATATAACATGATCAAAATGGAGCTTATGGTAAATTGTTTGTAAACCCAGGCACGTAGAGCTACTAGCCCGAAGGAGGATGAAATAGTCCTCATGGATATGATATATCAATGACTTATACCACTTACTTCAATTAATCTTTAATAGATAATTAATAAATTTAAAAACCTTCATATGTTTTTTCTAATTCCTTTTGGAGAGCATACGTGTATTGGATTCATAAGGCTTATCATTTAAATCACCAAATAAATCATAAATAAAATTTTAAAATATTAATAAAATCTTAAGATATTAAAACTTAAACTTAAATCAAAATCTCCCTTAACTTATATCCAACAAATAAATTCAAACTAAAATAACAAAAAAACATCAAACCTCCTAGTACAAATCAAAGACATATAACCTTTTTCACACACTAGAACCAGTTTGGTAGAGCTATTGACTTTAGCTTTAGGCTAGGCCATAGTGTGTTTGGTTAGATGTGAATACCTTTTCCTGGAGGATATCCTTGGTATGTTTGTTTACTTTCATGCATTGTGGATGTCATGACATCCATGATCACTTTTTTTTGTTATACTTTAATTTATTAAAATTTTATACACTTACACTATATTCATACATACATTGTATTTATATTTATGTTATCTTTTCTTTGATGCAAAAGGTGAATTAAAGTAGAATATATCTAGCCCTACTTCTAAAAGTTAAGAAGAACAAAATAAAATGTACTAAATTATAAATTTACATACAAATGATCAAAGGAAAATGTAAAGTGTCTAGATTATATATTTATATTGAATTCAAATTCAAAGAGTTGTAAAAGGTTAAAGGTGATTATTTATACACATATATAGCACTCCAAAAGATAATCACCTCTCCTTTGGAAGGTATTCTTTTTTGGAATCCTATAAGAGACTTGGAGCTAGAAGACAATAAGTAATTATATTTAAACATATTTCTTTCACATGTTTAGAAATCTAAGCATGTTGTGGTGGAGCTTGGCCACTTTATATTTATAGTAGATCTTAGGTTGTATTTATATTTTAAATAAATGAATAAAAATATTTATTTATGCATTTGTCTCATATATCATATATGACGTTAGCTAGATTCATTAATATATTTTATATAGCCTAGATTTAATTTTTTGAATTAAAATATTTAACTCCTCAGAATAGAGCCATCATATCTTACATGCATAAGATTTTGATTGATATCTAAGAATAAGGTACTAAATGTATGCTTATATTATGATTAAGATCTAGGTTGATGGTGGATGTTAAGCATATAACTAAGCTGCCTTGGTAAAACTTTGTTTCTTTTGGTGATGGTATGACAACTTAAAGATAACCTAGAGCTTCTAAACATTTGCAGTTGCTACTACTTTAAGTATTCAAGCATAATAATCTGTAGATCCAAAGTTATCTGTTACTCCTGACTATTCAAGCTCCCAACAAATATTTTCAAATGGTATTGTGTTTCGGTACGTGGGGGCCTTTCATCTCAAATTCTGACTATATGGTGGATTCAATGATGCAAATTTTGTTAGGATGTGATGAATGATAAAATTATGTTGAATGCATTGCAATCATGCCTCATCTCCATCATACTATAGAGTTAGGAGTTAGGAGGTCCCGTTTATCAAGATTTGTGCCATTCAGTACATTAAATAATGTTATATTGTATCTATTGAGTAAGAATTTTTTAGGGTGATGATGATGATTTAGATTTAGCTATATAGATTCTCAAGGCTGCTATCAAATATCTCTATATTTTCTATGGTAATGATGTGGTGTGTTTAGATGGTCTAGAGCTTCTCTGGCAACCACATAGCTGCAATTTCCATGGGGATTCCTGCATAGCTATTAGTAAAATGTTTCTGCACGTTTCTTATTTTGTGACATCCGCAATCTTATGAGCCCTCTTATTTTTCGTGTATAAATCCCTAATTATTCTTTCCTTTTTGAAATGTAGTCATTTTGGGTTATGTGTACTACATAATGTGCAATATAATATGCAAAGCATATCCACTTTTCTTATTTCATGGATTCTGCTATCATATGTTCCTTATTCTTTTTTTTTGGATGAATTAAGTGGAAATAAAATATTATTGGGATTTTTTCATACATAACACCTAAAACTATTGAAAATACATATTTAACTACTAAGCTTCTATATTTACTAATATACCACCTAAAACACCTCTTTTAATCAATTATAACATTCCGTTTAAACCTTATGTAAAAAATCACTATCAACGACCGTCTTCCCCATCAATATCCGTTTACAGTGAATACAAGAATCTCATCTCTTCAATGGAGTGGTAGAATAGAAGTAATAGGGTATTTTAAGTGGTTTTGATAAGGAATTGGTTTGACTAGGTAAATAAGAGTGTATTTCTCTTTATGATTTGATACCTAAAATTGAAGTGTGTAGAATATTAAGTTTGGTTTATTCTTTGATATTCCTTCAAGCTAAAAAATAAAAGGTATTGCTTTTCTACTCAATTTTCTTCTCAATCTAATTAATGGGCAAGTCTATTTTTGTTTTTGTTCTTTTAATATTTCAATTTTCCACTTTATTGTCATTTCGAGGCACCATGTGCACTGCAACATGCTCGACTTTCTTTGAATGTCCATTTACATTCCTTATCAGGCAGTTGCAGATATATATTTGTAGCGGAAGGTATTGTTGTGTGAGCCAACATGGTGAGTTATTCAGTAAGTTTTTTGTGTTATTGTCCATTTCGAATCCCCAATGATGAGCGCTTAGTTTGTTTAGTAGGTGAAGTTTTGGGTACCCATTACGAATAGTCTTATTCTCATTGTTTTAAAAGAGCACGGGTTTTTATGCTTTTTCATTTCTTGTATCTTTCAACTACATTTTTTTAGCTGATTGATGTTTGAAGTGAATTTCAACTAAAAAAGCTTGATATTGGCAACTTGGATGGGACAATGAGTTGTAAATCTCAAGCATTCCAAAAAATGGGTGAATGGTATAAGATGTGTGAGGATAAGAGCTACTATGCTTGTCAAATGGATAATAGTCCCCTTGTCTATCTTGATAAGAGCTGCTGTTCTTCTGAAATAGATAATAGTCTATCACCTATGTAAGTTTGAGGGCCTCTGTCTTCATTATAATTTTTATACATGTGGATGAATAGTAAACTTTTTTGTTTTTTTTTTTTGCGTTTTGCCACAGCAAAGCTAAGGATGAAGTGGGAATCAGTGTGTTAACTGCTTAAATTACTGAAATCCTTCTTGTGAAGATTTTCTGCAAAGTCCATTGAAAGCAGGCAAAAAATGCTATCAACATATTTGATAACTTGAATGTTAAATGATTTATTTATTTACTAGTGTTGCATCCTGGAATATTCACGGTGATAGAGAAATATAAAGTTTAATCTCTTAGCTTTGTACAAAGATCTAGCACACAATGAGATAAAAGAGAGCGTGCAGCGTTTATAATGAACATCAAATTTTTTATGTCAGAACCCCTAAAAAAGGGTAAAAAAACCCATGGGGCTTTGCCTAGTTTGAATAAATCCACTAGTTTTCAGTCATTTACAGATGAAGCCCTGGTTTGGGGGGAAGGCCTTGGCTTGATGTAGCAAATATACATCATATAGAGTGCATTACATGGTGTGAATTGGAAGAATTCGTATTGACTTATTTGTTTGGTCGGCAGGACCATAGTAGGCAGGTGACGGAGGGCGGAAAGATCTTAGTCGGGTGGCTAGAAAATTGCATGAAGTGGCAAGTTTTTTTTTGAGAAAGCTATATTTGAAAATCCTCTTAATATCCCCATTTTCACTGTGAAACAGAGTTAGGTAGGCTTTTTTATGTGATGGTCACCAGACTTATGCCATATTCAAAACATATTGTAGGGTTTTGTTTTTGTTTATGAGGAGATAATCTTTGTGGGCAGAGATGATGATTTAGGGTTTAGTAATATCTCTAGATTTTTTAGAGCATTAATGTGGCATTTCTGACTGGCTGGGAACTTTTCAGGCCATATAAGTGCCATCACCAGAGTAATTCATGCATAACAAGTCGAAGAAATCTTCTTTTCGTTTTCTAAATTTTTTGATGTTGGATATGTATATTCATAAATTTTGTGATATGAATGTAATTGATCTATCTTATTTCTTGGAATTAGTTGTCATCCACTTGTTCAACGACTCTTCTTCTTCTTCTTCTTTTTATTTCCTTTTTATTATGAAGTCCTTTTATGTTTTGGGCGCACTATAATGAACAGTGTGTTAGCTGTGAAGTTCTAATCATTCTTTTATATGACTTTTGTTGATGTATATTTGTAGTGGATAGCCTTCTTGTGGCATAAGCATTGCTGCTTGTGTTGTTTTACCAATTTTTCTTGGTGTTGTGGCTTTTATCCAGTATTAATGAGTAATACTTACCTTTTTTAGAAAGGTGTTGATGGAGTTACTGTTTTCCATCTTTCAGTGAATCTTCCATGTCCAAGTTTTCCTTGTCCTCAGTTTGACTAGTTTTTCCATCAAGGAGTGCTACCTGAAATCCCAAGAAAATTGATGCTACGATTTTACTTTTCTTGTTTGTAGTTTAAATTGAGCGGATGGAGCAAAAACTTCTTCTTGGTTCTCTACCATGGATTTTAGCAGATAAGTTGGTCTTTCTCTCTTTCTCTTGAAACATTGTGCATTAACCTCGGTAATTTCTTCTTCTGTTTCAGTGCATTAGTTAGATTTCAAGATAGGGATCCAAATTAGTTTTAATATTTCTCTCGTTTAATATTCATTGGTAATTTTGATTGCACTGGTCCCATGCCGTAATGTATCTGCATGATGGGGAAATGGGCTTTCCCTCTAGAAAATAGACTTGATTTTTACCTAGGTTTTCAGAACAAACAATGAATTTTAAATTGACTCTTGTTTTAAAGTTTCCAACTTTAGATAAAGCTCATGGGGTACTGTTCAATATGACAGAGGACTTAAAAAGGCAGATCACAGGTTAATAAAGCTCGAATCAAACACAAACCAAACTTGAACAAGCTAATAATAAATGAACTCAAACATGAACACTCACATACTCGACTTGGTTCAGTTTGTTTGCAGTCCTAGGTCACTCATATTTACCTTGGTTTGCAAAACAAATAATGAATTTTAAGTGGACTCTTGTATTAAAGTTTCCAACTTTAGATAAAGCACATGGGCTCGGTATCTGTTGGTCATTTTCATGAGGTACTGTGCAATATGACAGAAGACTTGAAAAGGCAGATCACAGGTTTATTTTTCTATGGTTAAAATTTGACATGCTTTTGGAATAATTATTGTCTACCCATCAATCATAATGGTGAGGCTTTGGGTGATGAGACATGTTCTGACTTTTGGCATTGTTATTGATTTGTCTCTGGACGGAGCTTCGTTGGCCAACTCTTCGTATTCTCTGTCTATCAAAAGATGAGGCGTCGAGGATGGCTTGAAAAACATTTAAAATGATGCAGCTATTTTATCTTATATTTATATCTTCTACCCGAGAGGACCGGAGGAAATAGTTAAAACAAGATAATTATTTTACATGGCTGGGTTTCCCTGAACCTCAATTTAGCTGTTTTTTCGTTGAAGACATTTGAAAATTAAAAAAAACATAAGTTGTTATTCAAGTATTAACAATTCAATGTTTTAACTTGTTAGGAAGGAGAATTATTTGATTGTTAAGTAAATCTTATATAGAAATTAAGTTCCATTTATTTATTTAAGTGCCATTTATCTGGCTACGTAACACTTTGCAATTACGTTCTGATGCTTTGCATCTGCATGTTAAATTGCTTTATTTGGGAATGAATCTCGAGGCATATTTAAATTAGAATCTTCTGAAATTAAATTTGGGACCATGATTTCATCAAGCATATATTTGAACTGAACATCTCTATAAGATGAATCTTAGGACATCAAAATTTGTTCAATCCCAGCCAAAATGGGTCTAAGTCTAGGGGTTGAAGCATATTTGAAACCTTCATATGCCATATAGTTTGTGTTCATTCTGAATCATCAATGATGAGTTTTAAGTTCGTGTTCTAATTGCATGAAGTTGTATTTACTTTTGAATTTTCACAAAGAATACTCTGTAGGGCTCATTCTGTTGCTTGAAGTTAGAATATATGCTTTCTCTAAAGTGTAAAGTTACACTAATGAAATGGTTATATTTTGATTCATTAAATAAGTTAAAATAAGCTTATCGCTTTTATCATGTTCATAATCTTGATTTCTATGATTTGTGAGAAGAGAAAATAACATTATCATGTCTATGATGATCATTATCATTTCTATGATGATCATTATCATGATTTATATTATGCGGTGCAAGAAGCATTTTTCATGACTATAATGACTGCAATTCGGTGCAAGAAGCTTTTTTATTGAATTCTTTCTGCAAGGAATTTATTATTATTATTATTTGTTTTGGTGGTGCGTGAGGTGGATGTTGATAGGTTAAGGTCTCATGGTAATGCCAGAAACTATAGGATTTCAATTGTTAAAGTACTGGTTGACAGCAGTATGGTTGAGAGTTGCATTTAGATAAAAAGTTTCCCTATGTAGTTTTTCTTGACTAATTATTTTGGGTATTGCTATAAATTTTTTTACCAGTCTCATGATGATAGCGGTCAAATGCTAATGATGTTGATGATCATTGGAGGCACTTTTTTTTTTGAAACTCTAATTCCTATACAACCGCTTTTAAACAAATTTATACACATCAGCAACAACTCAATCAAATAACAATTTTTAGAAAACTTATGCATTAACTACAACCCAATCAAACAAGGCTAAAGAGACAGAGTCAAATAGTTGAATAGTAGCATAGATACATCTATGCCTATTCAATTTCAAGCAGAATCTCATTAGCTAAAGGCATAGGCGTGGCACCATTCATTACTGTCCATCGACACATCGGACAAATTGGATGTTGCCACATCCATGTATCCACGCATATGGCATGAAATAAATGTCCGCAATCTGGTAAAAGCCTCAATGTCTTATCCTCTCCTTTCTCATCATCATAGTCGATAAGGCTCAGTGACGACAGACACATCCGACAAGTTGGAGGTTACCACAACCATGGATCCACACGCATGGCATGAAATAAATGCCCACAATCTGGTAAAAGCCTTAATATGCCTTACCCTCCCCTTCCTCATCTTCATAGTCGGCATGGCATTTTGAGCATTACATGATTGGAATTGATTGAATACTTTAGCTGGTATGGAAATGCTTGGAAGCCTAAGCTACTTCTTTGGCTGCTGGTATCAAGTTTGCACTTCAATTTGTAGAGAGCAGGCGGCAGGGGAGCACCACGGGGAAAAACACATCAGGTCCCTTTAATTATAAATTCTATATGTTGGCGGGGAAGGTTGGTTTTTTCTCTTATAATTATTTGCCAGAACTAATTTGTTGATTGCTTTCGTGGCAATATTGGAAATTTGAAGGTTGCATACGATATTATTTTGAATGACATGTGATTCGGCACCAAAAATTGTTTTGTTTGGGCACGAATCTTGAAGCATATTTAAATTAGAATCTTTTGAAGTTAAATTCGGGACCATGCTTTCATCAAACATATAGTTGAATTGAACATCTCTATAAGATGAATCCTAGGATGTCAAAATTTGTTCAATCCGAGCCAAAATGGGTCTAATTCTATGGGTTGAAGCATATTTGAAAGCTTCATAATATAAATTCGGATTTGTGTTCATTCTGAATCATCAATGATGAGTGGTTAGTTTGATTAGAAGATTAAGTCGTGGGTGCTGATTGTGAACATTCTTATTCTCATTATTTTAAAAGAGCATGGGTTCTTATCCTTTCATGTATTGTATCTTTGGACTTCTATTTTTACATGATCGAGGTTTGCAGTGGATTTCAAATAAAAAAATTTTATACTGGAAACTTGGAAGGTACAATGAGTTGTAAAGCTTAAACATTTGAAAAAGTGGGTGACTAGTATAATATGTGTGCAGATAATAGCTATTATTCTTGTAAAATGAATAGTAGTCCTATTGTCTCTCTCTTAGAGCTGTTTTTCTTCTAAAATAGGTAATAGTCTATCACCTATGTAACTTTGAGGGCCTTTGTATTCATTATAATTTTTATGCATGCAGGTGAATTTGACTTTTTTCGGATGACCCGGTTAGGAAAGTTGAGGTATTAGATTTGACTTATGTTAAGAAAGGTCGAGGTAGACCAAAAAAGAATTGGTTAGAAAATATTAGAAATGATCTTTCTTTAGTAGATTTAAATGAGAATTTGATTTTTAATATGACACAATGGCGAAAAAGGATTCATGTAACTGACCCCACGCAGTGGGACAAAGGCTTGATGATGTTGTTGTTGTTGTAGGCGGAATCTTGGGATCTTTTGAGATTAGAAGGGGAAAAGCAAATTGCAATATGATGCTAAATTTTAATGGGTGAGCTGCAGATAAAATTCCTATTTTTTATCTGATTTTCATTATGAAACGGTTGCTATTTGGGCAAATCTGCGTGACAGATACCATGAAAACATAACGTAAGTTTGACTGTTTTTTTTTTTGTTTTTCTGTTTTTGAATAAAAAATATTTGTGGGCAATGACGTTGATTTTTGGGCCAGTAATTGTCTTAGTAGGAAAGCCATGTAATATTGTTATATTTTCTATGATGTTTATGTTGCATTTAAGAATGGTCGGAAACTTCAAGGAATCACAACTGTGATCACTAGGGGATTGATGTCCTATGATCTGAAGAACACTACTGTAATTTTGTTTGTTCAGGCTGTGTCAGATGTATATTTGTAGTGGATGGCTTGGCTTGTTGATCTTTCATTGTCTACTTACCCAGATGGTGTTAATATGTGGGTCTATCAGTTAATTTTTAGGCCAATTAAGAAAAACTTGCACATCATTTACACCAGTTACACATGATCTATTTGCTGTTAGTCAAAGCTTCTAACTAAGAACAATATGCTCTGCAAATGAAGCCAAATCTTCCAAAAGTTCTCTATCACAATGAGCAGTGTGGTAGGTTTTATTGCCTTTGAAATTATAAGGCCGTTTCAGATGTATGTGTGTAGTGGACGGGCTTGTTGTGGAAGAAACATGGCTCATTAGGTTGTTGCACCAAGTTCTTCTGTTGTGGCTGTTCTTCAAATACAAGTGATCAGGGCCTATGGTTTTAAGCTTTTCAAGCAATCTCAATGGCCATTACAAAGGGGATCTTGTTTGGCTGTTCATAAAACAATGCTAAACTTGTCCTATTTTATGATTTTCAATATCATGTAAGCCCTTTCTTGTTAGTTCCTTATTCTACTTTTATGGTTCTCTTTTATTGTCCATTATTTTGCACCATAAAGCATTACAAGTCCCATGACAATCACTTTGAACAATTGGTCCGAGATGTCTAAATTGTGCACTCTTTTTAAGAACTTGATTGTCACAAGTCTTAATCCTCTACTAGATCAATTACTGCTTAAATTATACTACTTGTATCTATTCAAACGAAAACTTTTAGACTCGAAGGTTGATCTTTGTAATTCAATTTTTCCTTTAGATCCCTCTTTTCTTTTCTTAACAAAAAGATTATCATCAGCAAAAAGAATACGCCATGGTACATTTTCTTGCAAATGTTTTATTATTTTATATATTGATAACAATATTATGTTAACTGATATTAATTATAATTTTTATATAATTTAAACTGATGAATATTACTATTTATTTATATTAAGTAAAGTAAGTTTTATTTATATATATAGTATTTCAAATTATTCATTAAATAAATCAGAATTAATTTTGGAAAAATTTAAAAAATAAATGAATTTTTTATTTCTATATAAATAGAAAGGGTGAGCATAAAGAAAGGTTATTGACTGTATGTTTCTATAATTTTATCCTCATAAGTTTTTTTCTTTCTGTGATTTTCCCAGAGCCTTTGGTCTGTCTAGGGTTTACTTTTTCTTGTGAACTTGTTTTCGTCGTCCTTGTGTTGTTTGCGTGACCTAGCGTTTTGATGGTATACCGAAGCTTCTTCATCTTCTCCGACGATGTCGAATAGGAGAAATTATTCTGTGTGGAATCCGGTCACAAAGATGTGTTCGGTTGCTTACGTGGAAAGGGCTAAAAAGTCGATGGTAACAAACTTTCTCTTTTGGCGCGCTTCTTTTCCTAAATCCCGTAAATCTGCCGGACTTTTGGATTTTCTAAATTTTGCTTTCAAAGCAAAACCAAGAAGCAAAGAGATTTATGATTTTGTAGGATTTAGATTTCGTTTGGAACTTTTTTTGTCCGCTGTTCTTTGTCTTCTTTCATAAAATTTTTTACTAGAAAACTGCTATATCAAACCGTAAGAAAATTGTCCCAAACAAAGCCGTTGTTATTTTTGCCGTTTGGCAGGATTTAGGCTAAATCCTGTTTAATTCCTGCATCCCTACAGGATGTTAAGCTAGTGTCCAGAACACTCGTGTTTCTTCCCAAATAAAATATTCTGCAAACCATTGACGAATGTTGGGTAAGATCGCTGAAGAAGCATCGGCAGAAGCAGCGCCGTGTGAAATATTTCCGATGCCTTGATTTACTTATTAGAGTATTTAAGATAAAACGGGTGAGTAATGAAATTGAAGATTCTGTTGGTTTTAAAAATCTCATTTTTTTGCTGTTTGGCTGGATTATGGTCAATTTCTTCTTAGAAACTGCTATACCCAACCGCTCGGTGATGGTATTTGCTCTCTCTCTCTCTCTCTCGCCTTCTCCCTTCATCTTTATGTGCTGCTCTGAACCTCTTCAATTATCTTTTCAGATACAAAATGTAATTATTTGATGATCGGATGATTTGTGCAAAGTTTATAATATTTTTTGCATATGCATGGCAGTTAAAGTTGCATTTACTTTTGAATTTTTATAAAGAATACTCTGTAAGGCTCATTCGGTTGCTTGAAGTTAGAATATAGGATTTCTCTGAAGTTGCACTAATGAAAAGGTTATATTTTGATGCCTTAAATAAGTTTAAATAAACATATTGCTTTTATCATGTTCAACATCATGATTTCTATGATGTGTTAGAAGAGAAAATAAAATTATCATATCTATGATGATCATTATCATGATTTATATGATGGGTGCGAGAAGCATTTTTCATGACTATAATGATTGCAATGTGGTGGTAAACTTGTGGTCCGGTGATTATTCATTTACTTAAGCAAGGAATTTATTATTATTATTTGTTTTGGTGGTGCGTGAGGAGGATGTTGATAGGTTAAGGTCTCATGGTAATGCCAGAAACTATAGGGTTTCAATTTTTAAAGTGGTATTTGACAGCAGTATGGCTGAGAGTTGCATTCAGATAAAAATTTTCTGAATGTTTTTTTTTTTTTTGAGTATTTATTGTGGGTATTGCTAATAATTTTTTTGTACCCTTCTTTTGATGATAGCAGCGAAATGCTAATGATGATAATGATAGCTGGAGGCACTCCTCTGAGATGTTCTCAAAGCAAAATTAGGTACCATACATATGACAATTATCAAGATTAATGCCATACACGTTGACATTCAGTAGTGTGTTGTTGATGTCTCTTTCTAGTAAGCATTGTGAGGGAGGTAATAGTGACTTATAATTTTGCCATCAGTTGTATATGGTTGCTGTGGAATATCTCTATGTTTCTTTTGGTAATGTAGGGATGTCAATTTTTGACACGACACGAAACACGACCCGAACCCGACCCGGAAAAATCCGGGTTCGGGTCAACCCAAACCCGAAACGGGTCGGGTTCAGGTTCATGAAATCAACCCGTTTTAAAAATCTGGTCGGGTTCGGGTTGACCCGCCAACCCGAAATTGACCCGAAAGTGACACGAAAAATCATTTTTGACCCGAAAACTTGAGATTGACCCGTTTTTTACCCGAGATTGACCCGACTTTTGACCCGAAAATTAGCAATTTTGGGTCAATCCCGTGTCATTCGTGTCGGGTCGGGTTGACCCGGACCCGAATCGGGTCGGGTTCGGGTCCAGAAACCTGACCCGTTTTTAAAAACGGGTTGGGTTCGGGTTGACCCGAACAGTGCCGGGTCAGTTCTAGGTTCGACCCGAACCCGACCCGTTGACCCGAATTGACACCCCTATGGTAATGATGTTGCCAAAAAGAAAAATTACTTGTCTACTCAGTTTGTCCTCAATCAAACGAGTGGACAAAGGCAAATTTGGATTCATTTCCTTTAGTATTTCAATTTTATTTCTTTTTCAATTCCTCTTTTTCAGGTCTTTCAATACATACCCTGACTTTTGTTCCTTGGTTGCTACGGAATGTGCAATGCAATTGCTAAGTTTCTTTACCCTCGGAACTTCGCATTCAACCTTCTAAAAGTAAAATGTTGCAACCATCCCGAAGATACCCTTAGTGTCTTTACAAATATGATGGATGAGTGCTTATTTTGTTTAGAAAGTGTAGTTGTGGTTATTATTTGTCAATTAAGTAGTTCCTATAATTTTTGAAGAACAATATATCTTATCCTTAAATCTCATATTGTTTATCCTCTTTTTTGAATGAGTGGTATTTAAAGTGGATTTTAACTTAATAAAATTCAGTATTGGGAATTTGAAAGGATTGATGAAATGTTTAAATCTTAGGTATTCAACAATGTTAATGAATGTTATAATATATTTGGGGATAAGAGCTACAATTCTTTAAAAATAGGATATTTTCCAACTCTTGTGCATCGGCCTTGTGAGTATTTTCGGTGCAGTAAAGTCTTTATGGAATTATTCTTTAAGGGTGGTGATCAGGTTGGAAGCTTGTTCTCCACTTTATATGTGACCAATTATTCACTGTTAATCTTAGAGTTGATTTATGCATTTTTAATCTTCTGTTGAGTCTGTTTTTTTTTATTTTGCTTCACAGAGTCATTGGGATCATAGAATGTACTAGCTGTGGATGGTGATGATTTTCTCTAAGGTAAAATTCTTCATTAGTTTCGTAGATTCAGTGATAATCAAGATGGTAAAAACTAACATTACCTATCTACTTATTTGCTATGGCTGTGATTTACCTCTATCTTTTTATTAAGTTGCAAGTTGGCCGTTAATAGATCTCTAAGTTTGTCGTTAAAATTTTGTACTAGAAAGCTTCTTTAAGAAGCAGTAAGAAAGCCGTCCCAAATGAAACCTAAATTTCTTCATCAGTTTCGTTGATTTCATGATGGTGAAAGCAAATATTATATATGTACTCATTTGCTATGGCAGTGATGTACCTCTATCCTTTTTTTAAAGTGGCAAGTTGGCCATTAAAAGAGAAGTATAAAATTAAGTTTAGTGTTCCAGAGATGAGGATCCTCAAGTGGATGAGTAGCTTTACATCATAAGATTTAGTTAACTGTTGTTGGTTCTTTTGTCCCTATAAAGTTGCAAATTTACATCGTCATTGCACGAGTGGCTTGCTCACCTACTTTGTTGTTGTTCGACTTCGCTCCTTCGACGACTTTCCCTTTTCCCATCTCATTTTTTGCTGTTTGGCTGGATATCGGTCAATTTCTTTTTAGAAACTGCCATACCCAACAGCTCGATGAGGGTGATTTGTTCTCTCTATCTCTCTCTCTCGGCTTCTCCCTTCATCTTTGTGTGCTGCTCTGAACATCTTCCATTGTCTTGATAGATACAAAATGTAATTATTTGGTGATCGGATAAATTCTGCAAAGTTTATAATATTCTATGCTTATGCATGGCAGATAAAGTAGCATTTACTTTTGAATTTTTACAAAGAAGACTCTTTATGGCTCATTCGGTTGCTTGAAGTTAGAATATATTCTCTCTCTGAGGTTACGCTAATGAAATGGTTATATTTTGATGCATTAATTAAGTTAAAATAGGCTTATCGCCTTTATCATGCTCATCATGATTTCTATAATGTATGAGAAGCAAAAATAAAGTCATCATTTCTATGATGATCTATATCATGATTTATATGTTGCTGTGCAAGAAGCAATTTTTCATGCCTATAATGATTGCAATGTGGTTTTAAACACATGGTCTGGTTATTTTTTATAATTTTTGTTTTGTTTTGGTGGTGCTTGAGGAGAATGTTGAAAGGTTAAGGTCTCATAGTAATGCCAGAATCTATAGGGTTTGTTAAAGTGCTTTTTGACAGCAGTATGGCTGAGAGTTGCATTCAGTTAAAATGTTTCCCAAAGTATTTTTTCTTGACTATTTATTTTTGGTATTGTTATTAAATCTTTTTGTATCCTTCTCATGATGATGATGATGATCTTTGGATGCACTCTTAGATGTTCTCAAAGCAAAATTAGGGCCCCTGGTAAAGAGATTTTGTGCTGCTTTATGTTGTCATGCCTCACTATAAAGGTTCGATGTGGTGAAATAATTTATCTGTAACATAATATTTGAAATTGGGTTTGTTTGAACATGATAAGGTCATGCATCATCCCCTCTATTATGGAATTTTCTATAGAATTTATGTACATATGATGAAGTTTTGTGGCTGTGAGAAGTGATGTATCTTGAAGATGTGTAATATCATAATTTGTTGCTTTGAAAAAAAATGTAACTACATTATAGTAAAAAAACTTTATAATTTTTAGAAGGAAATCGTATCCTTTGTTTTATCTCTTTCATGATGTACAGTTGGGAGGGCTAAATCATGTGACAGTTATCGAGTTTAATGCCATACACATTAACATTATTATTATTATTTTTGAAGAAAATCATATCCTTTGTTTTATCTTTATCGTGAAGTACAGTTGGGAGGGCTAAATCATGTTTCAGATATCAAGTTATGCCATACACATTAACATTCGGTAATGTGTTGTTGATGTCTCTTTCTAGTAAGAATTTTTGAGGGAGATAATAGTGATTCAGAATTTTTCCAAGAGTTGCTTATGGTTCCTATGAGATTTGTATATATTTCCTATGGTAATGATGTAGCATGTTTGGATGGTCTAAAGCGTCTCAGGCAAACACAGTAGCCATTACCACGTGGAATCATGTATGGTTGTTTGTTGACAGCCGCTACACGTCCTATTTTATGGCTCTCAATATCATCTGATACCTTGTCTTCTAATTGGTTCCTCATTCTTTATTCCTTTTAGGAATGTAGATTTTTGATTCTTTGTGCTACAACGAGGGCTTGCAAATCCTCGACCTTGGTTCGACCTTTTCTTACTTTGGGCTTGACTTGAGGGGGTATGGAGAAAGCTTTGTTTCTTTCTGTGGGCTCCGAAAATTCGACCCCGGCTTCTCACGCTGTTAGATTTCTTCAGGGTAGTTTTAACTGATTAAAGTTCAGGGGTAAATTTTGTGATGGATTTGTAGATAAGACACTAGCCAGAGATTTCGCCCTCATTTTGCGAGGACTTTATGATTTGAGTTTTGGTTTCGTATAGGCGCAAGCCCCTATAGCTAATTACCCCTCCCGATCACGAGAGAGAAATTTCGATTAAGGCTAGTCATCAATCAGATACTTAGAAAGTACGTGTTATCTGGCTTGTAGTAGCAGCATATGTTTGAGTATTTGAGAAGTTTGATATTTAAAAATTAAAATTTCACCATCTTGCACTTAAAGTGGATGATGGGGGAAAGTGATGATGGGCCCGATCAAGATCCCATGGTTCTGTCATCTCGGGTCATCGTGGCCATGGTCTACTTAGTCAGAGGAGGTAGTTGACCCAAACTGATAAAAGGATCTTTGTCGGCAACCATGAGTCGTCGTCCAAGGGTACCTTGTAGACCTGAGGTAAATGTTTGTCTAAGGGGAAAAAAATTTTGAGTCCACCTTAGTTAATTGAGGGCTTTGTGCCCTATCGATTGTATCCTATTTATTCATTGCTCAATGGTTTGACCTATTGGGGAGCACACGGGTGCTGACCATGACCATAATTTAATTTTTCCATTCTATGCTGAACCACTCGGTTCAGAGGGTTCTGGTCATAACCGTTTACCTATAGTGCCATTTGACGAGAAACATTTTTCATGAGTATAATAACTGCAACGTGGTTTTAAACTCGTGGTTCAGTGATCTTTCATTTCCTTATACAAGAAGTTTTTTTATAATTTTTTCTTTATTTTGGTGTTGCTTGAGGAGGATGTTGATAGGTTAAAGTCTCAGGGTAAAGCCCTAAACTATAGTGTTTCAATTGTTAAAGTGCTGGTTTACAGCAGTATCGCTGAGAGTTGCATTCAGATAAAAATTTTCACAATGTTTTTTTGTTCACGACTATTTATTTTGGGTATTGCTAAATTTTTTTTTGTACCCTTCTGATGATGATAACAGCTAAATGCTAATGATGATGGTGATCATTGGAGGTACTCTGAGATGTTCTCAAAGCAAAATTAGGACCCCTGGGAAAGAAATTTTTGGCTGCTTTGTGTTGTCATTCCTCTCTTTATAAAGGTGCTGTGCTGAAGTAATTTCTTTATACCATAATATTTGAAATTGGATTTATATGAAGTATGAACATGATAATGTCATCCATCATCCCCTCATTTATGGAATTTCCTATAGAATTTATGTCTAGTTGATGAGGTTTTGTTGCTCTGAGGAGTGATGTATTTTGAAGAGGTGTAATATCATAATATGCTGCTTTGAAAAAGAAAAAAAAAAGAAACTACATTACAGTAATAAATGCTTATAATTTTTAGAAGGAAATTGTTTCCTTTGTTTATCTCTATCTTCAAGTACAGTTGGGAGGGATAAATCATATAACAGTTATCAAGATTAATGCCTTACACATTAACATTCAGTAGTGTCTTGTTGATGTCTCTTTCTAGTAAGAATTTGTGAGGGAGATAATATTGATTCAGAATTTTTCCATCAGTTGCATATGGTTGCAATGGAATTTCTCTATGTTTCCTATGGTGATGATGTAGCATGTTTGGATGGTCTGAAGCTTCTCAGGCAACCGCAGCAGCCATTACCTAGTGGATTCATGTATGGCTGTTTGTAGACAGCTGCTACATTTGTCCTATTTTATGACTCTCAATATCATCAGATACCCTGTCTTTTTATTGGTTCCTCATTCTTTCTTCCTTCTAGGAATTTAGTTTTTTTGGGTTTTTTGCTGCACAATGTGCGATGTATTAGGCAAAGATTGTCTGCTTGCTTTATTTGATAGACTCCACTATCATTTGATCCTTCTTATTCTTGTTTCTTTCTACTTGTTCCCTCCTTTGTCAAATGCCTTCCTTTTTTCTTTGCTTTGTTTGGAAGAATGAAGCATAAAATAAATATTGTTAGCAATTATTTACATCTCGGTTGTTTGGTGTAGTTGAGGTTGATAAAAGTTATTTTCACCCAAAAAATTATTTTATGCTTATATTTCTGTTTAGCTCATATTTCTCTTTATCATATTTTCTTAAAATTGAAGTTTGCTTAATATTTTGGTGTGTTCATTATTCAATTTCTTGGTTATTCCTTAAAGCCAAGCAAAAAATGAAAATTACTTTTCCACTTAGTTTCTCCTCAATCAAACAAATGGACAAAGACAATTTTGTATTCATTTCCTTAAAGCCAAGCAAAATATGAAAGTTACTTCATCATAAATGCAATTACGTTTTGATGGTATCAATTCTGCATAGTTTCTTATATGCTTGCATCTGCATTTATGATGAAGTAACTTTTACTTCTGCAATCATACAGAGATTTCTTTATAAGGAACATTTTGTTTCTTCAATTTGGAAAATATTATTCCCTCGTAGTAGCACTGATGAAATTGTTTTAATTTATAGCTTAAAATAAGTGAGAATAACAGAATAATTTTTATCATCATCTTCTTCATCATGATTTCTTTGATGCGGTGTGGAAAGCATTTCTCATGATTTTAGTGGTTGAAATTGGGTTAAAACCCATGGTTTAGTGATCCATAAATCTGTACTTCAAGGATTTGCTATTATTTTTATAGGGTTTGGTGGTGCTTGAAGAGGATTTTGTTGATAGTAGCTCTCATGGCAAGACTCGAAACTTTAGGGCTGCTAATATTTAAGGTGCTGGTTGACAACGAAATAGCCAAGTGTTGCATGCATGTAGAAAAATTTTGCAATGCATTTTTCTCAACTAATTAATGTGGGCATTTCTAAGAATTTTCTTCACGAGCTCATCATGACGATGGCTAAATGCTTTTGATGATACTCACTCAAAAGAATACTTCACTTAGTCTACCTTGTATATACTGTTGTAGTGCTTGATAATGTCCAGGATTCAAATCTTCTTCTTCTTCTTCTTCTTCTATGGTAATCACTTCAGCTAAATGTAATTTTTTCCTTGGTCCACTTCTACCATTGTTTCTTTGACCAGGTACCTATTATTGTTGCATGTTTTGTTAAGAAAGTGAAGTATTACATTGTTTCATTTTCCTATGCTCAATTTTATGTACCGGAGTTGCAATGGCTATTGTTTCGTCCTGGAGCATTCGCGTTGGTAGAGAGATATAATATTTAACGTCCTTGTTTTGTATGAAGAGCCATCTCACATACAGATAATAAAGAGAGAGATGCATCATTCAAAAGAGGCAACCGAATTTTTTACGTGGAAACCTTTCAAAAGGTGAAAAGATATGGGGCATTGCCTAGTTAAAATGATTCCACTAGTGTTTGTCGTTGATTACTAATGATTCTCTTACACGGGGAATGGCCTTGGGTCAATGTAGCAAATATACATCATATAAAGTGCATTACATAGTTGGAGTTGGGAGCATCCAGAGATTTGAGAGGCTATGTTTCGCCAATACACCTATTTATGAAGGCTTGTTGTATCCGATACGCCGATACACGGATACACCTCTGATACTCCACCGATACGTGTCGGATATGCCAAAGCCATATCCAATTAAAATACTATTTAATTTCAAAAGGACACGTGTATTCGATATTCGTGTCCATTGAAAAACAAAAAGTAATCCGAAAAAAAGAAGAATCGTGTTTACTTCCGCGGCTGCGAGCAAGGTTCTCTCATTTTTTTGATGGATTTGAGTTTCTTGATGATATGAGAATATTAGAAATTACTAATCTTTCACTTGATGAGCCTGAATTAGAAGCTATGATATTTATTGAAGATGATATAGAAGTTCAAACTTCAAAGACAAACTACTGAAAAAGTTAATCATATCATTCCTTTTATTGAATAGTTGAAACTTTATGTGCTAGAAAATTTATGTTTATGCTTTTGTTGTTGTACTAGACATTTAATGGTTACTTATATTTTGATATTATAAGCTACAAGGCTACAAATAATGTTGTTGTCTTTTTTTTTGTAATTTTAAATATTATGCTTTGATTGCTTTCTTAATTTTTATGTATGATTTATAAATTATAATGCCGTGTCCGCGCCGTACCTGTATACTGTATTTTTAAGAATTGAGGTGTCTCGTATCCGTATCGTGTCGTATCTGTGTTGCCGTATCCGTATCTGTGCAACATAGGTTAGAGGTGTTCTCAAAAGTACGTTGATATGCTCATTTTGTTGGTAAGAACATAGTCAGGCGTCGTAGGCCGGGGGGATAGTAGTAGGTGTTGACCAAAGTCGGAGGTCTGAGGGATCATAATCGGTTGACAGTAGAGGTTGGAGGAACCGTAGTCGGTAGATGACGGAGGGATGTTACACAAAGTTTTCATATTAAGGCTTCTCTCTAATCTTATTGGCCACTGGACCTACTACAACTTGTTCACATATAAACTTGTTTCGTATTCTGTTTCTAAGGGGATTTTTGGCAACATGATTTATGATAAGTCCTTCCAACCTGTATTTGAGCGCCCGTAAATTTCACGGCGGAATAAATCCTTTGTTTTCCGCTTTTTGCCGTAATCCTGGATTTATTAAATCCTGTAGTTTGGCGGATTTACAGGATTTGGCCGAAAAAAGCGCGTGAAAGGGAGAAAGTTACCTTCACAACAAGCGATCTCCCATCGTTGCTTCCGATTAAAATGTTGTAACTTCCAATAACGTCGGCAAAGGAGAGAAATTGAATTGCGATGAAGCCGAACAACGAGGAAAAAGAGAAGATAAAAAACAAACCCTAGCCTCCATTAAGCTATTACTGGTTAACTTAATGTTATTTAAAATATTAATAATTAAGTAAATTAATTAATTAGTTAATATTATAATTAGTGCATAAAATAATTATCTAATTTAACTTATGGGCTGTCCGATGGAGCAGTCCGAATTGGCCTATGGTGCAAGAATTCATGATGATAACATAGAATGCAGCCATCATCTACACTTCTGCTGTGTAATATCTTTATGTTTCCTTGGATAAAGATGTGGTAAATTTCACGCTCGTTGGGCATGCTTGGCTGGTCTGTTGCTTCTCAGGCAACCGCAGCCTCAATTGCCAAAGATTTTCATGTACAGCTATTAGTAGGAATCTTTGGCATTTGTATTATTTCATGACTTCCACTATAATCTGTGTTATCTTTTTCGTATTCTTCTTATTAATCCCTCCTTTTTTACTTTTGGATTGTTCTTTTGGGTTCCAGGTGCTACCTAATGTGAAATGTAATAGGCAAAGTCTCTCAGTTGGTCTTATTTCCTGGCTTTTATTATCATCTGATTCGTTTACCTTTCTTCGTGCTCCATTTTTGTCTTCTTTTTACAATGGCTTTCTTTTGGCTGTGTTTTAGTTCGAGGAATTAATATTTCCTTTTTTACTTGTTATCATCTACTTGTATTCCATATTTTGGTATCGTGGCCATTGTTCTTCACATCTGCTTCTGCTGCTCTTGCCTTCAGTAGGCAGTACTTGATTCTACTTGTATTTACTTTGTATTTTAGCAAATAAATGATCTGTTATGCACTCTGATTCGTTTTCGCGATTGAATTAGACCTCCGCTTTGCATTCTCTTCCTATTAAACTGTTCGCCTTACACTAAATTTTCTTCTCCAATTTTTTTTTCGCCTCTTCAACTTTTATAATCGTTCTTCATGGCATCTTAAATCGATTACCTCGCATGTAAGCCTCTCTGCCTCTGTGCAATCCAGTTTTTAAAAGATGAAGAGAACTGTTGAACTTCATGCTGATTGGAATGTCCGTCGTATATATATTTTAAACGAATTTTTTATCTCCCAGTTGGAGTGTCTTGCTTAACAAATTAGATAAACTCTCAACTCTTCTCTTCTCTTTTTCAAACATTTAAGGTAGTAATGTATTAATGGTGTTTCTCTGAGGTTCTTGAGCAATAACCGTGTATTTATTGATGATTATCCTATTCATTGTTACAACTATCAATGTCTCTTCTTTGTTTTATTTGAAGTAGATGAGCTTTTGGGCTTTTTACATGTCTAAAATCTCTTTTTTATATTTATTTTTTTGGTGGATTTTCCTTTTTGTTTTGTGTTGCAGATTTGGTGAATAAAATGTCTGAAGTTATTGTTGTTGTGCATGGATGACTAATATGGCCTAAATTTCTCTTGTTTTAATTGTATTGTTGTTGATGAAAAAAAGCATATAGTGGGCTAAGTGGGTGCTACTAGCTTTTGTCAGCCATTGCACTTAGTTTTTTGGAACACATTTGCGTGAAAAATTGGAATGGGGAAGATAGTCTTTAAGATGTGTGTACATTTTGTCTCTAAGCTTTTGAAATTGTAGATATCCAGTTTGTTGATGGGCACATATTTCTGGTTGCTTGGGCAATACAAAGGGCTTTTTTTTTAACCTTGTTACCTCATGCTTTAGTTGAAGCTCTTTTTAGAGGTTGAGTTAGCTTAGATATATTTTTGTCCCGCCCATGGTTTGAGCTTGAGCTGGTTTCCACTTTTTTAATTTTTGCGAGAAGTATGTAATTTAAATGATCTAATTGCACAAAGCTTCTCCATGGTTTCATAACAATGGTAAGTTACTTGCAGTGTTAGGAAATGGATGCAACTTGAGCAAAATCATGGAACGGCTCAAAAAAATTGGGAAGAACACTCATAAAATATTTTTTTATTGAATGAACTAAGAAGGAAAATACAAGATATAGTTGCATCTTTAATTGGAGAGGAAGATCTGACTCTCATAAATTCCTAGCCTTCGACTAGAGCCCTCTTTGGTACCCTCTCCAAAGAGGGTGGAATTCTTCTGGGTGTAACTTTTTTAGGCCTGCTGTAGAATTTGGCTGTTCCAGAATGGATCGACCCAAAATTGATCTGTCAGGGAAGGACCGGTCCATCACAAAGCAGCTTGGCAATGCTAAGCAGCGACTTAATTTCGTACCTCATCAACACTAATAAACAACATAGCATTGCATTGCAATATTGGAATTTTGAAGGTTGTATATGATATGATTTTGAATGATGTGATTTGATGAGGCATGATAATCTGGCATTGACGAGGCATCAATGAGGGCTTGAAAATCCTCTACCATGGTGCTTCCTTGTTTTCTTGCATAGGGCTTGACTTGAGAGTGTTTGGAGAAAGCTTTGTGTCTTTATCTTTGATAAATTTCAAAAGTTTCTTGAGCCTGTATCGCATGAAGTGCTGTGCAAAAACCCTGAAGAAATTGCTGATTTCTGTTTTGAGACAAATTTACTTGGGATACTGACTCTCTCTCTCTCTCTCTCTCTCTCTCTCTTTCTCTCTCTCTCTCTCCCCCTCTCTCTCTCTCTATATATATAAAAGCAAGATTATACAAATGTCTATTTATTTTATCGAATAGTCTAGTGGAAAAAAAGCCTGTTAGGTGTTACAATGAGAAACGTGATATGAATTGTGAGGGATTATGGTGAAATTCAAGGGCCAATTTTCTTCATTTTGTATTTTTCTTGGAAAAGAATATTTTTAATTTATATGTTGAAGTCAAAGGAGCTATAGATAGAAATCCTGTCATTTGCTTCAACATTACAGTGAAAATCAACAAGGTACTATATGTGTGCTTACATTAAGATTAGTGCTGTACACAACATGAAGAGCCAGGTTGATGGTGGATGTTAATCATCACTAAGTTGCCTTGGTAAAACTTGGTTTCTTTTGGTGATGTTATGACAGCTTAGAGAGGACCTAGAGATTCTAACAAAATAATTTGTTGAACCAAAGTTTTTCTGTTACTCTTGAGTATTCATGCTCCCAACAAATTTTTTAAAATGTATTGTGTTTCTATATGTGGAAGCCTTTCATCTCAAGTTCTGACTGCATGCATTCAATGATGCAAAATTTGTTAGGATATGATGAATGATTAAATATTGTTGAATGCATTGCAATTATTAAATTTGACTTATGTTAAGAAAAGTAGAGATAGACCAAAAAGGACTTGGTTAGAGAATATTAGAAATGATCTTTCCTTATTAAATTTAAATGAGAGTTTGACTTTTAACATGACACAATGGAGAAAAGGATTCATGTAGCCGAACCCACGTAGTGCCATTTATATACCCAAGTGCCAATTATCTGGCTACGTAACACATTGTAATTACGTCCTGATGGTATCAATTCTGCATAGTTTCTTATATGCTTTGCATCTGCATGTCAAATGAAGTAGCAGTTGCATCTTCATTAATACAAGGAATTCTTGACAAGGATCATTTGGTTGCTTGAAGTTGGAAAATATGTTTCTAAAGTAACACTGAAGAAATGGTTTTAATTTCAAGCATAAAATAAGTGAAAATATCAATATCATTTCTATGATCATCTGTTTAATGATATCTTTGATAATGTGTGGTGTTTGAGGAGGAGGATGTTTACCGGGGAAGCTCTCATGGTAACGCCTAAAACTTTAGGCTGCAAATTTTTAATGTGCTGGTTGACAGTGAAGAGCCTCTCTCTCTCTCTCTCTCTCTCTCTCTCTCTCTCTCTTTATATATATATATATCTTGGCTTACTAAACATTTTTATTATTATTTTGAAGGCTAACAAGATGCCAAATGAGTGGAGTGTGATGTTTCCTATTTTCAAGAATTAAGGTGTTGTACAAGAGTGCGTGAATTATAGAGAAATTAAGTTGATGTGTCATACATTTAAATTATTGGAGAGAATAATTGAGCATAAATTATGGCATGATACTATTGTTTCTCAAAATCAATTTGGATTCATGCTGGGTAGGTCTACCTATGGAAGCTGTATATATTTTGTGAGATTTTAAGAGAAAGCATATGATAAAGTTCTAGAGAAGTTATTTGGAGAGTTTTAGAAAAGAGGAGTTAATAATACATATATTCAAGTTTTTAAGGTTATGTATG